TGAGGGGCGGCACAGAATTCTGCTGGAGGGCTTCCCAGACTGTGACACAGGGCCACTTCTTTCTGTAATTCCAGGGCTTCAAATAGTGTACATTTCATATGCTAGAGTGAAGGTGGGACATGAAATTGCCCTGTCCAGTGTCTCAGCAAAAAGCACAAGGTTCATCTTCCTCCCATTAGACCAGTGGACTTAATAGAGGAAGCCCCAGTAACGTCAGCATGAGGGTGAACTAGAAATCTTAAAAGAGACATGCTTGTATATAGTGGTCACATTATGGATGATCAGATATCAACCTTCCCCCAGGCTAGAAACAGCTGCTCAGGGTGCATGTCTTAAAGAGGTGATCAACTGCTAACATTTTAAAAGTTCAGTACCCATGGGGCTGTGGCAGAATGAAGAGAAGCCTCCAAGACAGATAGATAATCACTTAGTCTCTAGAAGGGTGTGTGCAGAGGTGTGTGCGGTGTGGTGTGGTGAGTGAGTGGCTAAGGATGATGCGTGTAGATGTGGGGGTGTGGTGTAGTGTTTTGTGGTATGTGGGGGGTGTTGTCCAGTAATCTCATTTCTTTACTATAAACAAAATCTATCAACACTGTCACTTGACATTTAAGAGCCAGTTAATTGTTCTCTGCTGCCTTTGCCATGCTCAGCATTTCTTTGCTCGGTATATTTCTTATTTTAGAAAGCTTCGTAAACTTGAGGGAGCTCTCAGGAATTGACAAGCCAGCATTTCAGGGAAGCTGTAGACATAAGTTACTATGTTACTTTAATATCACGCCACAGCTTTGCTGTACCATACAGTCAGACACAACGCAGTTTCCGTTATTCCACACTGCTCCTGCCATGCCCATTGCAAGCTTTACTTGGCAGCTGAACCTGCCGTTTGTGCATTTTATTTTGGGTTTTAGTTTTGTTGTATGTATTTTTGTTTCTGATACTTTGGGGAGTGGTCAGTTTTCACATGGTGAAGTTAGTTGTTTGTATGATAAAAAAAAAAGGGGGAAATTTCTAGCTTTTTAATGGATTTTACCCAAAATATTTTTGATAGTATTTGGTCAGTTATAGTGTTTGGGAGCTTGAGATCATGAGTACAATGTCAGAGTGATCTCTGCCTCTTCTCATTGATGTGTATAGATAACTCTGTAGACCAGAGTTTGTATCACATACAAAATGAATTCAGAGCCTTAAAAGCCCTAAAGTGATTTGAAATATTCTAATAATGTCACTTGAAGTTGCTTTCATCTGGCCTGCCACATGAAACGTTGTGATGGCAGTGATGCTGCATTGCCACAAAGCACCATGAATAGCAGTAACATTTGAGGGGACATGCAGTATTTTACAGCCACTCTCTGGCAGATGGAGTTTGTGAACAGCTAGGACAGTTCAGGGATTATTGGAATTTTAAATCTCCGTGACTATATTCTCCTCCTGACAGGCCAGTTCCTGTGAATGACATTCACTTGTTTATGCTCATGTGATGCTGTTTTAATTTCTTAGGGTGCGGATCCAAAGGAAACTTTAGCCTTAAAAGTTACATGCCTGGATCACATGTCTGGCCCTCACCTGGGCTTGATAGTACAGGAAAAGACATAATCATAATAGACTTGACTTGGGCAGGTGGTGACCACTATCCTATAAAATGAGTTATTGATGTCTCTGGGTCCTATGGTGTGCTCTAAGCCCACAGATCTCTTCTGCAAAGATCCACATCCTCCAACAGGGAAAAGGCTTCTCTGCCAAAGAAGCAAAACTGTACAGACGACTAGAAACTGAACTTTGACATGGATGGGATTGTTTCTGGATGTAATTATTAAGATTTCACTTGAACAAATAAAAGATTAAGGAAGAGTAACAACTGTTTATGTTTCTGACTTAAATGAATACTGAGAAAACTTCATGTGCTAATATTGTATTTTTCCTATGTCAATCCATTTATCAGTATGTGACCAAGTTGTCCCTATTTTACACAAAAGACTAAGGCAGAAATGTTTAAAGAGATTGGCTCTTGCTATACGGTAGCGAGAAGACAATGTACAGCAGTTGAGAATCCAGAGAGCTAAAAAGTCTTGGCTAATGTGGCCCAAATTCTGTTGATGATCTCCAAGAAACTGGAGAAGCTCAAGTAAACAACACTCCCGCTACCGCAGCTCAGTATTTTCTTAAGGAATCTATTTAAGTGTTTTAATATTTTATTTAGTATTAATATATACATGTAACTTTGGATCAAATCTACTGTCCAACTTTTCCCTTGTCCTCAACTTTTCCCTCCCAACTTCATGTACACTCTCCTTTCTTTTTAAGTTTTTTAATACCCTTCGTCCACTTAGTACTACCTGACATGCTCGGTGTAGGACCATGTACAGGAGGATGAGTAGCTACTCAAAACCCTCATACTACCCACAGAAAGCTGGCTTTCCCTCCCCAACACCCATCAGATGCCAATAGCTCTTCAGAGAGAGGTGGAATTTCATGAGCACCTGCCCCATCCATTCTAGAATTGTCTGACTTGAGCGTGTACGAGCCTTGTGAATACACAGTTCTAGCCACTGTGAGTTTATGTGTGCAGCTGTGCTACATGTCCAGCAAACACTGTTTCTCTGCAGACGTCTACTCTCTCAGAGTCCTACAGTCCTTCCGTGCCTTCTTCCTCAGTGAGCCTCAAACCTTTATAGAAAAGGATATGATTTAGATATCCCATTTAGACACTGCTTGGGCAATCATTGGTTCCCTGTTTCTGGAGTTAGTGGTGTCTCAGCACTGAGGCAGGCCTCAAGTCCAGGGATCCTTTTTCCAGAAGACCCAAGTTCTCTGGCAGAGAGAAGGATTTTCAGACAGAGAAGCAATGCTGAGATTTAGACCTGAGCACTCCGTAGACTCTGCATGTTGGCCAGTTGTGGGTCTTTGTATTAATTGCCACTACTGCAAAAGGAAGCTTGTGTAATAAAAGTTAAGCAGGAAATCGGCCTATGGATATAAAGATAAAAACTTAGGGATGCATAGTACTATGTTGATTTAGCACAATAATAGTAGTAGGTTATCTTCTTATACCTTTGACTTAATCAGTCAAAGATTTTTGGTCCAGTTGATGGTACTAGGAATGAGGTCCATCTTGTGGGATGAGCTAAGTCCAAGCAGAAAGTAGTTGGTTATGCCCATGATAATCCTGCCACTATTGCATTGTTCCATATATCTTGCCAGCCCAGCTATAAGGTTCAGTAGGTGAGACCATTGATGACTTTTCTCATTTCATAGCATGCATAGAACCTTCCAGCACTATGAACTCTAGCCAGTAGGGATGAAACTACCAGGTCATTATCAGCTTGATTTTTCCATGTCCTATAACTCAGGTATACAGTGTGTTCAGCAGTACGGTCTTATCAAGTAACCAATAGCAATAACAGTAGCCTGTAATGTTTGGGAACATGTATGAGATGTTATTGACTAACAAATCAAAAAAGAGGCAACCAATACCTGGCACTGGCTTTTTCATTTAAACTTCATGTGGTGTGTGTGTGTGTGTGTGTGTGTGTGTGTGTGTACGTTTCTATATTAGTAGATTTCTATATGGTGTTTTCAACGGACTTCAGTGTTATTCTTCCCCTTACTCCCTTTTCCACCCTCATCTCCTACCTTAGTCCTCCTGCTGTTATTCCTCCTCCCACCTTCATATCACTCACATTCTATCCCCCTCTCCTTGAAATCCCCTTGACTTTTTGTTAGTTCCCCAGCTTCTATGGGTTCTCCAGGTTAAATATGCATACCTAAGATTCAAAGCTAACACCTGCATCTGAGTGGAAACGTGGCAGTTGTCTTTCTTGATCTAGGTTTCCTCACTCAGAGGGATTATTTCCAACTCCATTCATTTACCTGGGAATTTCAAAATTTAATTTTTCTTTATGGCTGAATGTCCCATTGTGTAATTAAGCACATTATCATTATCAATACGATAGACATCTGTTTGATTCTATTCCCTGGATTTTGCAAATATAGCAGCAATGAATATGGATGCCCAAGTATCTCTGTAGTTAAGAAATGGCGTCCTTTGGAAAGTTAGCAAAATTAGCTATACCAGTATCCTAAAAAGCCCTTCTAGGGCCTGTCATTGCTCATAAGTTACATGTGAATTAAAGAGACATACAGCCCATCACCACCTCCCTCTATCTCATCACCCAGATGGCACAAGTGTCTCAGCCTCCACTCCTTGTAGACATATTAGTCTGTAATGTTGATTCTGCAACCTTCATTTCAGGAGTGATCTACCACAGAGAGAATACTTGGTCAGTAGACTTTGAGAATTATGAAGCAAGTTAGTCCATTCATTTGAAGAGTAATTCATTCTTTAGAATAGGGGAAATTTAGCCTGGAAAAGGAAAGATTTCATAGAAGCCGAAAGAAGTGTCTTCCATACTTAGTTCTGTCATGTTTGCGAATGACTACAGAGCTAAGCAGAAATTCTTGGAAGTTAATGAAGACAGGCCCAGGATTTTGATGCAGAATCAGCTGGCTCAGAGGTACCGATACTCTCTTCACAGGCACTGCCATGAGTGTGCAGCTAGAAGCTGAACAGCAACTTGAACAATGTACAGGAGACGCAGCCACAGGCCACACAGCTCTAGAGCTGCTTCTCTGTCAGTAAACTGACGGAGGCAGGCGACTGTTTAAGGAAGAACACAGCAGGACAGACGTGCTGCCGCAGTAGATAGAGGTGCTTGCTGTGCAGACCTGACAACCTCAGTTTGATCCCTAAAACCCATGATGAAAGAAGAGAATGCACTCTCCGGAGTTTGCCTCTGACCACGACACACACTGTGACAACACAGACCCATGCATCCATACTCACACACAGCAGGAATAATAAGTAAAATAAATTTTAAAGTAAAACCAGAGTCTAATGTATCTTAGACTTGTAATGCTGCCAAAGTAATAAAAACAGCAAGATGAATAAATAATATACATTCTGGTGTTTAATAAAATGATCCCTTTTTCCTGTCCTCTTCTAGTGCTGTCTCCTGCTCAAGAGAGCCATGTGAACATGGACCTTCCACCAGTATCTGAGCAGATCATGCAGACACTGAGTGAACTTGCCAAGTCCTTCCAGGATATGGCTGACCGCTGCCTGCTTGTCTTACATCTGGAAGTGAGGTATGACCCAAATAAGCACAGGACATTGTGGTGTCAGAGCCCCCCGTGACATGTCAGGTGCTGTCTCTGGATGCATGGCGGACCACCACAGTCTTCAGTTTTTGCTGTTGATTCTGTGTCCTATGGTGAGCATGATGTTTAGCAGTATCCAGTGTCCTTGCAGGATGTGAGCATAAGCTGGACCGTGAGTGTGGAGACTCAAGGGTGGTGTGGCCTATGTGGATTTGCATGTGCACACCAACCATGTAGGTGATCTGAAGGTCAGCTAGCTGGCTATTTTTGCAAAGCTTCAGTTTCCTCTTATAGTGAAAATAGCAGTTTCTACCATAGATGTTATGGAGAAATCTTGAGTCATTTGTGCCGTATCTGTCACATACTAAAGTCAAAATGTGTGGACTTTATTGTTGCTATTTTTGCACATCAGAAAGGAAGCCTCCCGTCAACAAACTTAAAACCCAGCTGAGGAGAATGAGGAAAAGAATGGTCCAAGAGAAGGGTTTCAGGGATGCCGTGTTCCTTCGCCTGCAGCAGGAAGACACTGGCCATGTAGATGTGTGTAATAAAGTGAGAGACGAGAGGAAGAGGCAGAGCATCTTCGGCTGTCCTGTCGTTGTGAAGCAGCTGAACGGGTCTCTAAACATTGCGATATAGCAACAAGCAAAATATCCTGGGTCCCCATACCTTCCAGTCACAGATAAGACAAAAACGATACTTTCAGACAATCATAGCTGAAATGATAAAATAATATGATGCGAGGCCAGCAAGGTGGTTCAGAGGGTAAGCCACCTGCCACTGAAGACCTGAGCGCTGTCCTCAGTTCGCATAGTGAGAGACCTGACTCTGAAAAGCTATCCTCTGAGCTCCACACTCATTAGCTCATGGGTGTGCTCACACAAACAAATTAATAAATAAATATTTTAACTAATAATATCCTGACATTATTATTTAGATAACATAACTGCAAACGCAAGCCATGTAGGTCATATAAAGTTTTTCTAGAGATTGAATGTCCTTAATCCAGAAATTCAAATCTGGAACTGTTCTTCAGATTTAAGAGCATTTCAGAGGCTCGGCCAAATAAGTGTAAGCACGTGTTCTGAAATTTAAAAACTTTTGATCCCAAATATTTTGGATAAGAGATACTCAAACAGTAGTTGCATTTGAAAATATAGAGAGAAGCAGATAAAATGAATTATATATATATATATACATACATATATATATATATATATATATATATATATATATATATATATATTAAAGGGAGAGGGAGAGAGAGAGAGGCAGAGACCTGCTTGAGTCTTCAGAAGAAGAGTAGGGAATGGGAGGAGCTTATCTCTCTCTCTCTCTCTCTTTTTTTGGTTTTTCGAGACAGGGTTTCTCTGCAGCTTTGGAGCCTGTCCTGGAACTAGCTCTTGTAGACCAGGCTGGCCTCAAACTCACAGAGATCCTTCTGCCTCTGTCTTCCGAGTGCTGGGATTAAAGGTGTACACCACCCCCACCCAGCATGAATTATATTTTTAATGCTGTGGGGGGGGGTATTACTGTGTCAACACAGAAACAGTGAGCTACTTTTCATTCTCTGTGGTAAGCCTTGGCATAATCATAGCTTATCCTTAGAGTACATCATGGTGAGGACACTTTGTGGGCTCAGTAGCTACATGTGGCAGACAGGCAATGGAAAATGCATTATATGGGTTAACCAGGAAGGGAGTTGCTTAGACAGAGGACTGTGGCAGAGTGACCAAAGCCATCCAAACAAAAACCTAGAGGAAGGAAATTCAGGCAGGGAGCAGCACTCAGAAAGGTCCTGAGATGCAGTTATTCCAGGCAAGTTGGAGGCACGGAAAAGAACCTATTACATTTGTAACCAGATGAATGAGGCAGGTGTGAAGGGGGGGTAGAGTAAGTAAGGTAAAGACGGGCTAGGGCCTGATCGTGGCAGTTGTAAGCCTGATACACTGGGGGTCTTCAGGTCCAAGGGGTCTTGTCCATTCATGTTCGAAGTGCTTTAGGAAGCTTCGGCGAGGCTTTGTATAGAGGACAGATGTTAGTTGATATTTTTAAAAGACTGCTCTGGCTACTGTATAGACATGTGTCTGCACAGGAAACAGGGTGACCAGTTGAGACCAATTAGGAGCGTCAAAGTGACAAGGTGGAAGTATGGAAGATGTAGGACTTGAACCATATGCTGGAGTAGAAATCCTAGAACTTACTGACAGATTAGGTTGGGTTCAGGATTTGGCGGCACTGAGAAAAAGACTCACAGAAACCCACCAGTTGAGAGTCTTAGAATTTGTGGCTGCAGAGTCTATGAATACCAGTAGGCAAATACTGAAGAGGGCAAGGCAGGAGCATTATGAGTTTGAGAGCATCCTGTACTGTACCTTTGCCGGTGGCCGCACCGCCCTAGATGTGCCTAAAGTCATTTAACTGAAACAGGACAGTCTGAAGGAACAGAAAGTTCGGGGTGTGGGTTAGAGGTTTCGAAAGCAAGTACTCAGGTGTTCACTGTGAGGAGCTTTTCTGATATCTAGGTAGCAACGCCAACTAGACCCCTGCATAAATACTTCTGAAAGCCCAGGATCAGGAAGCCTGGCATGGTTTGTAGTGCATTTTCTTCTGTGTATTTTTAACAATATTAAAGTTGGATAAATGTTTTCTTTTCATTTGAATTTTCTATGACGTCCATGTTTTAAAACTATAACATGAGTTTGGTTCATAGTTAAGACTTTGGAATGTGTTTAGATTCCAGTTAAAAGTTGGATGGCTTCGAGGCATGTTAATGGCACTTCCTTTTTATGTCCCTTGCTTTTGGCATTCTTCTGTTTCCCCCAATGAGCTACTTCTCTGCTGCTTGTTAGCACCCTGGGAGTAGAACAAAAGAAGGAGCCTGCAGGTTTGGAAGCTGTCGTGCTCAGCATTATTCCTGAGTTTATTTCTTGCATTAACTTGTCCAGAAATAAAGCATCTCACTGTGTGTTTTCTGATTTGTTTTACGATAATTTTTAGATTTGTTTTCTATTTATTTTCAAGCTGATAATGAAATAAAGCAGACATTTTCTATGAATAGATAAATGCAGTAGACACCGAAGGAAAGAAGAAAAAACACGCAGTAATATTCTGAGGCTGCTGTTACCCCGGGTTGCAAAGCAAAACAAGAGAACAGCAAATTAATTACTCTCACAACTCCTGGAATTTATGCTATTGATTGTGCATTCTCAGGACATGTTCTACATTCGGAATCACCGACTTGTGTGCAGTTAATTCCAGGCGGGATGTTTTCAGCACGTTTCAGTAAAATCTTTGAAATCCTTAACCCCTGTCCTGTCTTTTTTTTTTATTTTTTGTACTTCTTAGCAATACTATTCTTACGATGTCAGACATGTTTTGTCAACTTTATAAGAAATCACACAGTTGTAATATTCATTTCCATACTTCCTTTAATATTAATTTTAAAACAGGAAAGGGTAATTTCAGCCTGAGTTCTAGTGCTCTAGATACAGAATTATTTTTCCTTTACTTTGAGACCACTAAGTTCATTTTTTTTTATTTCTTCCTATAACCTGGTTCCCACATTCAGTTTGTTTTCTATGAATGTGTCTCCATTTTGTCTTTGTTCTTAATGTGTGGTTCACAAAACAGACTTCTCTGTTTATGACTTAGATGGTGAATGCTGGCACTCTGTTCTGGCCTGTCACATTGCCAGTAGAGGTGGGGGAACAGTGGTGAGGTTAGAAGAGGAACAAAACGGATGCCAGGCCAGTCATCACGTTGGTAGGGTATGGGTGTTATACCAGAACAAGCCGTCAGATTCTATGGGACCCATAGTGCAAGGTTGTGGAAGAAACCACTCATTCTTCTGGTGTGTCTTGTTCGTTATTATAAATGGTCACAGAAATTGAGCCAGTCATGATGCCTGTATGATTTCTATTTAAGAACGAGCTGACTTTAAACCAAACCCAGATATAAAAAAATAAGCTCAGTTCTCCTAAACAAAATGTGTTCTTGAAAGTCAGTGAGTTGGTTTATAAATAGCATTTTCACATGATAGTCCACTTGCAAGTCAACCACATATGTCTGCAAGTACAGGGGTGTATTAGTCACTTCTCTGTTGGTGCGATAAAAGGTCATGGCCAAAAGCAACTTAAGGAAGAGTTCATTTTAGCTTACAGTTCCAGTCATGGATGGCAGCAGGAGCAGACAACAGAGAGTTCATATTTCATCTACACATAGGAAACAGAAAGAGAAAAGCGGTGCATGGAGACTATAAACCCTCGAGGCCCACCCCTAGTAATAAACTTTCTCCAGCCAGGCTCCACCCCCTAAAGATTCCATAAACTCCCCAAATAGCACCACCAACTGGTGATCAAATATTCAAATCCACAAACCTGTGAGGGACATTCCTCACCAAACCACTACAGAGAGACTGTGGCCAACCTCATGCTCATTCTGATAATTCACTAATACTTATTTTATCCATAGCATATCGTGAAAGAGAATCACAACTGAGGCCCTGTCCAGGAGCTGGCATGATGTAAAGTGATACTCTCTCTGGCATTTTATAACCGCGGAAACTCTGCAATGGGAACCAAAGAAAAATGAAAGCCATGTAAAGTATATGAATGGGTTGGCCCAGCAAAGCTCCAGAAGAACTTCACATGCCAGACTCTGTCTTACTTTCAGAATATCTTTATAACCATAGCCCATATTTTTCTTTAACACTGTTAAAAAGGTTCTCAAATCTGGCAGGTTCTGTGTTGAAGAACCCATCCAAACAGCATTTGACTTTTATTCATGTCCTTGTAGGTCACATTTAACCACCATGCACTATCTTTCCATAGTTTGAGGCAGAAGGCAGATGACACCCACCCTGCCCCCCCCCCCCCACACCAAGAAATGAAAGACATGGTGAGACCATTAAAAGTTGTTGAGGTTTTTTTTTTTTCATCTTTGAACTTTAGAAAAAGAAAATTAAGTTGCCATTTGAGTCCACAATGCCAAAAATGTCACCTTTATCAGCTGATTTCCCTTAGCATCAGGAGGGCTCTAAGTGGGTTCAACAGCAACTGCCTGTCACTGTTGGGATCCTGAGTGTGCACTGTGTGAAAACTACCCATCCTGCTGTGCAATCAGCAGTGTTTGCAGAAACTGTAATGCCAAAGTCAGACGAAGGTCAGCAGTGCCACACCAGAACCCAGAGGAAAATAAAACCTTAGTGAATCTGATCCTCACCAGTGACAGTTCTTTCTGACCATTTGGGGAAAATAAAGTAGTGCCGTGACAGCAGTTGTCCCTCCTCTCCGGCTGCAGCCGTAGACCCTCACGAGCACTGACCTCCGTCCGGTGTATCCGAGTCTTCAGAAGCCCGTCTCTTCTTTGATTGCTCTCCGTGTTCCACCATCAGTCTACCCTTTCTTTGTGCCAAAGCTATTATTTGATTTTATCAATTTACTACTTAAAGTTCTCTGGGGGCTGGAGAAAGGGCTTATTGATTATTAGTAGGTACAAAGGACCCAGGTTCAGTTCCCAGCACCCATATCAGGTAACACATCAGCTTTGGACACCTGCATTCATGTGCATATACCCACACAAGGACAATCATACACATTCTTAAATTTTTTTAAATTTTTAATTAATCTGTAAAGTTCTCTTAGGGTTCCCTAAACCTCCTTGCATAAAATCCACATTCCTTTAATGGCCTCTGAAGCCTAGGATGACATTTTACCGCCCATGTCTCTCTCTCCTGTGATCTATATGGAACAAAAAGGAACTTCTCACTATTGGCCAGAGCCATTGCCCGTGTCCAACTTCATGCCTTTTAGCATGATCTTCCTACTGTGTGTGACTGTGCTACCATAACTTAAAGTTTCTTTAGTGTAGGTGGCTGTATTTCAGCTAATGCTACTTCATTTTAATTTCTGCAAGGTAGTGATTAATTTCTCTAGTCAAGAGTCCTACTCCCACGTGGGTCATCTTTGATTACATCAGAGAGATCACATTGGAGAGGGTCTGTGGCCAGAGCCATTAGTTGAATCTTCATCCAAAGTGTTCTCTTTGCCAAGTGACTTAGAAATGTCAGATTGGGCTTTTTAACGGTGGCGTTGCTTATTAGTTAGCAGCTGTGAGAATAAGCACATATCAGTAAAAGATGAGCTACAGTCATATTATATTTAGATTTCCTTAAAAATCCTAGGGATATTTCTTGAGCCTGTGAAGATTGCTCGCTGATATGAGCATTTGTATAAACATGAGAACTTGATTTTAATCCCCAGAACCCATGTAAGGTAAAAAGTCAGATGTAGCTATGAGTACCTATAACCCTAGCACTGGGGGCAGAGGGTAAAGATAGGTTGATTCTTGGATCTTGCTGACTGGTCAGTAGAGCCAAAACAGTCTCCAGTTCACTGAGAGACCTTGTCTCAATATAATAAAGTAGAGAGCAGTAGAAGACTCACAGTGGCTTTTTCTCGGTTGTTTTCTGTTATCAGCTTGCACAACCTAGTGTCACTGCATTGTCTTGCTTGCTAATTGATACAGAAGGACTCGGCCCACTGTTGGAAGTGCTATAACACCATAGATGGGTAGAAAGAACTACATGAAATCCAACATTGTTGCTCTTTAGAATATGGAAATTAAAATCACTATGAGATACTATAATTCATGTGCATGACCAAACAAAAAAACAAACAACAAAAACATTCTTTTTAACTGGCGCACTGAGTGCTTATTAAGATACAAATGACTAGAATAGTCGTGTGTTGCTAGTAGGGGGCACAGCTCATTAATACGGGAGTTTGTTGCTTCCAACGCTGGAGGTGCCTTTAGCCTCTGACTCAGTGAAGCCTACTTCTAAGTAATTACTCAGGAGAATGAAAATTTATGTTTACATAAAGCTGGAAGCACTTTAAGGGAAAATGGATTCTTTCAGCTCACCATTTGAAGGGATATAGTCTGTCATGAACAGGAAGGCATGGTAACAAGAACAGTTCCAGGTTTTAGCATAGTCTCTAGCAGATTTCTTTTTGATTTGTTTATTGACTTTTTTGTTTTGGTTTGGTTTGGTTTGGTTTTGGATTTTCAAGACAGGTTTCTCTGTTTAGTCCTTGCTATCCCGGAACTCAATTTGTAGACCAGGCTGACCTTGAACTCAGAGATCCACCTGAGTGCTGGGATTAAAGGTGTGTACCACCCATGACTTAGTCACATGATAAATTAGCAATGATTAACATAAAACTAGTGACATAACAATTTTTACTGTGTGCTTTCTTCACATCAGACTCTTTGTTATATGCTTTGCATGGCCCTTTGAGGCAGAAGTTATTATTGTGCCTAGTTCAGGGGAAACTGAGGCATAGAAAGACTCCGGTATATTCCTTAAAGTTACACAGTTTATAAGTGCCAAAAATAGGAAACAAAAATCAGTGGTCTCCACAAAAGCATAGCATTGAGGATGGAAATTCAACCTCTCATTGTCATCATAACAACATCTGTTGAAGGATACCCCCTGGCTCTGCTACTGTACACAGTCTTTTTTTTTTTTTTTTTTTTTTTTTTGATTTTCGAGACAGGGTTTCTCCATAGTTTTTGGTTCCTGTCCTGGAACTAGCTCTTGTAGACCAGGCTGGCCTCGAACTCACAGAAATCCGCCTGCCTCTGCCTCCCGAGTGCTGGGATTAAAGGCGTGCGCCACCACCACCCGGCCACACAGTCTTGGCATTGAAAGAATTCCAGAAGTCATCTACTGCTTATCAAGTATTAAATGAAAAAAACCTCATAGATGCCTGCTTGCTTCAAATCTCTCGAAATGGGGCACGGGGAGGAGGCAGAAATTTTTTCAATTAAAAAAAAAATCTCTCAACTGTATAGCTAAGATAGCATTTTGGTTAAAAAAAAAAAAAAAACCCTGCTGGGAGTCTAGGTGCAATGCACAAGGCCACAGCTGCTTCAGATAGTTTGGTGCTCCTTCCTAAGCAGACCCTTGTCTTCATGGGGAAATTTTCATTTTCATTTGCTCTCCTTTTTCTCTTTCAGAGTTCATTGTTTCCACTATCTCATCCCTCTGGCCAAGGAGGGGAACTATGCCATTGTTGCCAATGTGGAAAGTATGGATTATGACCCTCTGGTGGTCAAGCTCAACAAAGACATCAGTGCCATGGAAGAGGCCATGAGCTCCAGCCTTCAGCAGCACAAGTTCCAGTATATCTTTGAAGGTTAGAGCTTGCCGTTGTGTCTAGGAGCGGGAGGGTACTTTTGAAAGGTACTTACGTATAACTATTTTATGTAGTATTGAACCATCCATCATTCCTCAGTCTATATGTCCTATCCAAAGGAGTCCTGGGGCTAGAAGGTTGGCTCAGCCACTAAAGGCGAGATTCACAACCAGCAAGGCCAAAGGAGTCCTTTTAGGTTTACTGATGTCTTCAGATACCCTCTGCCAAATTTCATAGACTATAAGGCAGTCCTTAAGGGCTGGAAATTTGGCTCAGTTGGTAGAATATTTGGCCTAGTGTACACAAAAAGCCTTAGATCAATCTTTAGCATATATACACCTACCTAGCATGCTAACACATGCATGTAATCCCAGCATTTGAGAGGTGGAGGCAGGAGGGTCAGGGTTTGATGCCAGCCCATAATATGTAAGACTCTATCTATCTATCTATCTATCTATCCAAACAAACAAAGCAAGATAATAGGACAGTCCTTCAAATGTAAGAACAAACCATTTACAGGACCCCAGAGCTATCTGTAAATGTCTGTTGAGAATTTAGCACTCAACTCACAATCTATTTTTCCTAAATGCTCTGTTTCTATCTGTTACTGTGTTACATATTCACCCTATTGCCAATGCTGAAATCTATTAGCATTGTTGCCAGGAGCCCATATTTTATTGATTGATTCTTTTTAAAATTGACATTTTTGTTGTTTGTTTGTTTGTTTACCATCCAGGTCCTTTATTTCTTTTTATACTTTCATATACAATGGGTTCCAGCTGTTCATGCTCCTTTCTGTTAGATCTCACAAGGTGTGCTTCTCTGGGTGGAGCAGGTTGGTGCTTCAACTGAAGCTGGGTGCCTTTGGTTTTCCTTTTCTTCTGATTGTTTTCCTTCACCCACTTCAGAAAGCTGTTTCAGCTCTTCGCATCCTTGGTGTGCTCAGTCTGCACATTAATTCTCTTGGCAAGAATCTAACCCTTAACTTGTTTGTTCACAGTGATGCCCATGGCATGCTGGGTGACACTAGAAAACTCTTCTGGTTTTGCTGTGGTAACACTTATGGGCCTCTTTTTTGTACAGTATCCATTTCCTTGATGTCTACAATATCACCTTTCTTGTAGGTTTGTATGTGTATGGCCAAAGGAACAACTCCATGTTACCTAAAAGGCCCAGAGAACATACAGTAGGCGCCCCTCCTTTCTCCCCTGTGTTCGTCATTTTGACGAGTTACTAGAAGACGGCTAATGATGGAAAGCAAGTTGTTAGCATTTTTGTTTAGAGTGCTCAACTTAGGACTGATTTGCTTTTATATATGTAGGCTCCCAATTATGTTCAGAGCCAAATGTGTATTTTCCTCTGTTTCATGAGTAGAGGAGACCAAACAGATCTCTCCAAATATCTGCACACACAGTACAGTTCCTTTGTATGTCCTTAGCTTATAGCACCCTGGCTTTTTCTTGAAGCCCTTATGGTAAGACTTTTAGGTGAACATTACAGTGCTGGGCTGGGAATATGCCAAATTTAGCTGACTACGGTAGGTTTTCCATTCTGTGTAGAAGTATCATAAAATTATTATAAGATTTGCTATGGCAATTGGGCTACATGTTTTCTTGAGTCACTTAAATCTGTGCAGGATGAAAAAGAATAATCGTATATACAAGTTTAAGCAAGATGCCACTAATAGTATCTTTCTTGTCTTCTCGCTATACTGTGCTGACCCCTCAGGTCTGGGACACCTCATCTCCTGCATCCTCATTAATGGGGCCCAGTACTTCCGGCGCATCAGTGAGTCTGGCATCAAGAAAATGTGTAGGAACATTTTTGTTCTTCAGCAGAATTTGACCAACATCACTATGTCACGGGAAGCAGACTTGGACTTTGCAAGGTACAGGGAAATACTGGGCTAGGTTTCTTACTCTGAAGCTCATTGCCTATAATGAGCTGCTCTTTGCTAAAAACCTTATTTAAAAAAAAACAAACAAACAAGAAATGTGGCTGGAGAAATAGTTCAGCAGTTAAAGCACTTGTGCAAGCAGGAGGACCAGAGTTTAAATCTTTTTTACTTTATTTTATGACAGAGGCAGGGAAGAGCGGGATAGGGGAGTGTATACCATAGAGCGTTTGTGAAGATAGACCAGAGGAGAACCTGTGGTTCTGTCCTTCCACCATGGAGGTTCTCGGATTGAGATTGCATCATCAGTCTTGGTGACAAGACTTTGCCTGCTGAGCTGCCTCGCTGGCCTCAAACTTAAGTTTTTCATACTATTACATTGGTGACTTTTTACTGAGTAAAAGAGTAATATAAAACATTTCACAGTAAATGTAAGGTGATAATCCTTTGGCCTACAGATAGTGATATCTGGCCTATCTTCTCCTGCCTTTGCGTATATGTAAACAATACAAACATACGTGACTTTTCACACATACACATGCATATGATTTCCCTTTTTACAAATTTGTGACTATGTTAACGTAACTTAAACTGTATTCCTTGCATTCTACCATATCAATAATAATCTTTGAAAACATGATTTTTCAAATACTAATGCTTCTAGAAAATACTACTTTCAATAAGTGAACAAAATCCATGGTATAAATTAACAGGAGTTTGTTTTCTAATCACTTTGGCTGTCAGCAGTTTTGCGTTTTGTTTGTCAAATGACAAACGACAAGCAAGTACTGGGGTCAGCTTTGCATGTGCCTGTTCTGACGCTGCTTCTCATTTGACCCAGTTGAGACCCGTCCAGTTTTCTTCCAACAGGGAGACGAGTCATTGCCCTTTTTCTCCTCAAGGTTTACTTGTCTCAATTCTTAATGCTCTCTTTTAAAGACACTGTTTCAAATATTAGGGTTAATTTTATTTTACTCCAGTTGGTCTCCACATTGTACATTAAATAATCAGACCTTTGGTGCTTTACTGACAGGTCAAGCTGTTTTGTAGAATGTGGATAACAGTACATTAGCAAACCCTCCACTTTCCCCCCATGCTCTGTTACTTACAGTTAGGTGAACTAGTCCATAAACTTCATTTTTTAAAGCTTTTTTAGCTGGGAAAATGTTTTTTTTTTAGTAGTCTGGAATGTTTCTGCTTATTTGTTATTTCTGGTTTTTCCATTTGACTTTGAGATTCCTCTAGAAGTTCAGGAAAAATTGAAACAGTTTTTGAGTACTTAAGAGAATTATACAGCACCATGTAACTTTGACAGGGACTCTTTGCTTTGAAAGTAGCCCACATATAATCCTTTTATATTGTATCACTACCCATTTGCTTCTCTGCTCCTCTCTTCCCCTATATTTTTTTTCTCTATTTGCAGGAGTGAGAGTGTGTGTGTGTGTGTGTGTGTGTGTTTTCATTAAATTCCATGTTTTAGGATAGATTTGGTGGAAAGCCTTCCTTGTTCAAATTAGAGAAACCAGGTGTGACTGAATGCTGCATTTATTTGGCCGCTCTTAGGGGAAATGATCTCATTATTGAATTAGTCTATCCATAATAACATTGACAAGGGGAAGTTAAGAACATGGAGGCCTGAGGGATACAAAGAGCCATTACTAATTCTCTGAGGAATATAATTCCTAAATTCAATCATCTTTTTTTAAATGATTTTTTTTTATTTAGCTGAAATAAGTAAATTAACACAGTTCTTGGCAGACAGTATGGGGCCCAAACACGTACTGAAAACACAGCGTCTGCATCCTGAGCACTGCCGGGGCAGCACTGAGATTGGCATCAGCGGCCGTGTCCAGTGAGGGGCTTCTGCAGGATGTAATTGATGGCAACTCAGTCATGCCTTTCACAGTTGGATTTCTGAGTTATGTCCAAGGAGTACGTAAAAGGTGGACATCACCACCAGGGAGAGAGTGTCCAATGTTACCCCTATTCTGTAATGGATTATGTAAGCTGGTATGAGCATGTAGCATGGATTCTATGCTCCAGGAGATTCAGAGACTGTCTCTCCTTACTAAATGGGCAGTTTCACACAGTTTCCTCAGTGTTTGGAACAGAGTGAACAATCACTAGATATGGTGAGAACGTGAGTAGATGCCAGCTCAAGGCTGACAAAGAGTTTATAAAATGTCAGCAAATATAGTTGACTTTCTATCCACTCCTAAGGAACAAGAGTGTGTCAATTTTATAAAAACAGAAGACAGTACCAAAAGTAGTAATGTAGCCCTGCCAGTCCATGCTCTCTTCCTTTCTTATTTGCGCTTGTTCTCATGGGAACGTATTTTAGAGCCTTATTTTCCCCTCCTTTTTGAGTTAGGAGTTGGTTTTCTGAAATGGGCCCCATCAATTCTACCAAATTTGAAGTTGTGTAAAACAGATACCAAAATCGCCAGAATTAACAGCCTGCAGCAGTGTGCCTCGGTATTCCTCCAGCAGTGTCTAATCAAGCATGGATAAAGGCATTTGTGTTTCCAGGGACTCTATAGAAATGTTATCTTCTAACAAGTAATTAATCACCAGTCGCCATGCGTCAGAAAACTGACTTAACAAGAAGGTGTATAGCACTTGTGGGGTTTTTTTTCTTTCTGCAGCTGCCTTCCTGGCCAGTCAAAAATATAGCATCCTTCTGTACTAAAGAATTAATGGATATGGAATGATTCTACTTCTGTTGATTCTCCTGATGGGACATGGCCCAGGATTACTGAGGGCTCTGTCCTCCATGGTGATGATCACTTCGGTTTTGCTGTTGTTTTGACTCTTTATCCCACTGTTGATTTTTGGAATCAAAAAGAACTTCTTACCAAGAAAATTATAGCAGATTAACTGGAAATTTTTGGGTCTCTAAATGTGTGTGTGTGTGGTGTGCGCGTGCCCGTGCGTGCATGCATGTCAGTGTGTGTGTGTGTGTGTTTACATCCACCACAGCTCATCTGAACTTGAGCTACAGTGTGCATTTACAGAAAGAAGCCACCAAAGCCACCATGGGCCATGCAGTAGGAAGATAGAGAATGGAGCAAGAGTGTATCATGGTCCCTGATAGGATTTGTCTTGCAGTCTTTGTAGATGAGGCGAAGCCCTTGTTCGATAAGAATGCCCCAGAGTTTTCCCCCCAGGTTCTCTCCTCTTTCTCAAGTCTTCCTTCTTTTGGGAATAGATAATAATTTGTTTGGATTTGGTATGGGTTTTGTTGGATGTTTTTGTTTGTTTGTTTGGTTGGTTGGTTTTGGTTTTGGTTTGTTTGGATATCTATAGTTTTTGTTTGGGGCATTTTTTTGGTTTTTGTTTTTATTTAGGATTTTGGAGATAGGGTCTCAATACATAGCACTGGCTGTCCTGGAACTTGCTATGCAAACCAGGCTGCCCTGGAACTCACTGGTGTCCGAGTGCTGGCTTTGAAGGCATAGCTACTAAGCCTGGCAATTCTTTCTTTTGTTCTGCATTTCCCACACCGCTTTGTTTCCTGTTTTATGGCCACTTCCTCCCCCCACCCACACACACACTATTTTTTGCATTTCTTTAAACAAATGTCTTCATTTAAACATCACAAAGAGAAGGAAATGAAAGCCGAGGTTCAGAAGTGGCAAGGAACCCAATTCTAAAATGGAGAATACAACATTTCTTTACATTATTATCCCTGTAGTCAGTGAACAGATAGTTCTTGAAAGTGTGTCCTCTCTGGGTCATGCCCTGGAGGAACTTGCATTGTTGTGAGGCAAAGTATAAACTAATAGATAGGCAAACTGCAAAGTAATTCAGAAGATGAGTGTGTAATTCTGATGAACCTGCATTTCTGTGAGGCGAAATACAAACTAGCAGATAGAATGCAAAATGTGTCAGTTTTTCAGACATGCTGTTATAAAAAACCAAGCTTAGAAATAAAAATTGAGAGTGCCAGGGTATAATTTCAGTGTTTATGAAAGCCCTAGAGGGAACATGTGTTTAGTGTATCTAGGGAAAGACCATATAAGAAAGGGAGTCTAAGGATGCAGACCCGGGGCGGGGGTGGGGTGGGGGGAGGATGCTTGACTGGGAAAGCAGTAGGAAGGTGAGTGTGGCTAGAACAAGCAGGGAGAGGTAAGATCATAAATGTGTGCAAAGGAGCTCAGAATCTTGAAGGTCATTGTAATGTCATCCACTTTTACTGGGAAGTAGAAAACTGCTAATGAGTTGAAGGCAGAGATTACCACAGTCTGAATCCTGTCTGCTCCTATGAAAATCAGCACTGGGGAGTAGAAGTTGAAAGCTAGCACATAAACAGAAGGATCCATTAGAAAATCACCAGATGAACAGCGGTGATCCAAACCAAGTCAGAACTGGGGAAAAGAGGAGAGGTCAGCTAGGTTGCTCTCAATCTAGTCTAGACAGGGTGAACCAGTGACTCTGTTTTCTTCTGAGCAAGTCAAAGCAACGAGTGTTTAATGCCCTGAAGCAGACTATGGGTAAAGCTAGTTGAGTTTGGGTAGATGAGGGGGATACCAAGAGCTTGAGTTTGATACATTCAGTTTGATATGCCTCCTATAGATATGAATGGAGATAGGAGGAAAGGCTTGAGTAAGAAACTTGGAGTATAGGAGAGTCTGGCCTAGAGAGAAGAGCTTGGGAACCATTAGCTTATACATGGAATTTGAAGTCAGAAGACAAAAGTAAGAAGTAAGGTCTTGCTAGGAGAACAAGTAGAGAAAAAAAAAAAGATGCTGTCTGAGAACTGGGCCTAGTCACTGCCTTGCGTTTGGATGCTGGGTGCTGAAAAAGAGGCAGCAGAGAGTGAGGGAACAGCTGCAGAGGGAGGTGAGTGGCTCGGGAAAGGGGATGTCTGGGAGTCCAGATGAGAGCTTGGAAAGGGTGCTTTGTGTCGAGTGTCGTTCCTGGGTTACATTAGCTCAGTGCAGAGAACTGGCTGCTCTTAGACTTGACCAGAGACTTAAAATATCTTGGTTTGT